AAGGCAGCCGTATTTCTCCATGCTGTCCATTCTCGCCCACTGGCATCAATTGGTGAAAACGCTTGTTGCGCTTCAATCCGTATGCAGTTACACGCCCCTCATTCGCAGGGATAATGACTGTGAGATTTCGGACATCACTCTTCTCCAAGGCCTAGTTATGGATTGTGCAAAGGACTTCTTTAGTGGGCCAGGGCACATCGTAGTTGGGGGTCCCTCAACAAGGGGCGTGTTTCTCGCTGGAGAGGAGGTTGCATTTGTTCATTGGTTGGGAAAGGGCGGGGATCGTCTCTCCGGCTCCTAAGAGAGGTTGTGAGATTTGTGGGGGTTTACCTGTTTCATATGTAGTCCCCCCCACAAGCTAGGGACATTTCGAAAAAATGGTAGATCTGGGGAAATGGAGAGAAAGTAGCGAAAAGTGGTAGGTAGGATGGGAAAGGAGAAGGGGTAGTACTAACCCGCTAAAAAAGGGGAAGGGGTCGTACAGACTCGATCAAAATCCCCAACTAATTGATGTGCCTTGGAATGGGCACAAACCCTTTGTGGCTTGCCTAAAAAGCAAAGTCTCAGGAAAATACACACTGGAAGCACTTATCTTTTATTGATGACGAGTAAGCAGTTCAATCGATTTTGAGCATAGAAAAGGCAGTTTGTGAGACAAAAAAACCACTTTAGGACTTCTTGAATTGTAAACAGCAATTAAGACACTTTGTCACATTGAAATACCCAGCAAAGATACAGAGTGAAATATTGTTGATAAAGCATAAACGCACAACATTCTCATTGAAATTATAACGATGATTATAGGAAATGTACACCGAGTCACAGCAAAGAAACCGTGTTTGGTAAAATAAAATTTGAGAGGGGGAAGGGACAATCTCCGAAAAATTAAAAAAAAAATAATGAAAGTGATTATTGTGGTATTATAGTACCAGACGTGTTATAGTGAAGTACGGTGTAGTGTAGTGACTGATCGGTCCTATTCAGTACCAGTGAAACCTCTAGAAGTAGCTTACAGGAGTAGTTGAATCCAAACCCACAACCTCGTCCAAATCCTCTACGCCATTTATCGCAGCTTCTGTTGTGGGTTTACTTCATTCCTGCTTACTCATTGATTTCTTTTTGACATTTATCAGAAAAGTCGTTGCGAGTGAAGAAAATCGAGGCGTGTCAGCGAGGAGTGAGTTTCGCGTCGTGCCGGCTCGTTTTTCATCCAGCTCTCGCCAACTCGGGCTCTCGCGTTCAATGAGTGGTGGGAAAAGTGTTGGCGTCGCTTGTAAAGCCACGCCCCGCTGACACGCCCCGAGTGACTTCAGTGATAATGGCTGCACGTGCTCAAGGCCTCTAATTCTCTGACGTCGCAACAGTAAAGACGGCCTGACGATACTTAAGGAAAACATGCCATGACTGACAGAAATTGGCACTCAAACACCTCGAATCCTCCATCATTCGAGGCGCCATTGGGTATAGGAGCATGGAATGAAAATCAAAAGGTTGAAGAAGTCATACTCACTAGCAGGAACTACTCCAGAGAATGAAGTTGGGAGTATTGTGAACATGTTCCCAGTGAGATTCATTTGTGCTCTTCACATCTGAAGATTTCACATCGCTCAAAGGAGAGGGGCAAGAGAATCGTAATTTAACGCTCCGTCGGCGACGTTTCCTTAAGACTGCGTTATACTTTGCGGCAGCGTAGCGCTCCAGCGTACGCCAGCGTGACGCTGGTGAAGCTAGATCGATATGCATCCTCTCCTCGGCACTGCCGCTGGCGTACGCTGGAAGCGCTACGCTACGCTGCCGCAAAGTATAAACGCAGCCTAAGGAAACGTCGCCGACGGAGCGTTAAATTACGATTCTCTTGCCCCTCTCCTTTGAGCGATGTGAAATCTTCAGATGTGAAGAGCACAAATGAATCTCACTGGGAACATGTTCACAATACTCCCAACTTCATT